GGCGCAGTAAAGGCAACTAGTGCCACGCTACTTTTTTGTGATTTGTTGACTCAGCGTAACCAAAAAAGAGCCCGAAGGCAAACTCACCTTGATTGATTGCATTGATAAGAGGAGGCACAACACCGTCGACAGCAAGTGACGTGAAGGCGAGACCGAGGATGCCGTCAGTTGGGTCCTGCAACGAGAACCGTACTCAGCGTTCCACGGTAGCTAAAGAATGCGGTTTCAGAGAGTAGTTCATTACTTACATCCTTGAAGTCAGATGAGATGTGGGTGGCCAATCCAAAAGTGGTTTTTGGAACGACTAGCTGCTGTTCTTTGGATCCGCCGAACTGGAATTGTTGGGCTGAGGGAGGATTTTATAATATTATGCATGAATATTAATTTAAATTTTTTATCAATGGTCAATTTAAAATTAGTACATCAACAAATGGGAGGATTGTATAAGGCCTAAATAGGTCTGAGCCTTCTTAATGGCAAAGTCCACGCTATGTACGGGGATCAGATGTGCTGTCATCGCTGACTCTGCCTCTCCAATGCATTAGAAATGAGAGGAGCTCCAATGACGAAGCCAGTCAGGTCTGTCTCCGCCCATACGATTAGCGTGGACCCTGCCTGTAATGTCCTAGATCGGTCCTACCTTGACAGTATCGGTACCAAGCACTCCCTTAGCATCACCAGATCCATAAGTGATTGTCCACGCGGTTGTGCTCGACACAAAGGTACTTGAGGAAGCCGCGACGAATTTGGCCTTCTTATTGCACGGAAGGTGCTGAAATCAATGTTCTCAGCAACAGGTTTATAACCCTCAGAGGATCTCTTTCAGTCTTCATGATGGACAAATGACCTCATTAAGGCGTGATTAACTTAAGTGCAAATAGTGCTGGGCGCTTAGTCATCACTGATATGAACAAAATTTCACAGTGGTGATTCACAAGTAATTTGAGAACGCTGGACTGTAAGAACCGAGAGGAAGGCAGCCGAAAGTGGAAAGATAGAACCTGGAGCAAAGAGAGTGACTAACGCTAAGGAGAAGGTGGAGAAGAGAAGCCGATGTACGAAATATGGAATTGTTTACAGTCTCGTTCGCTGCAGATGGTGTCAGCAGGGAGGAGAACGCGGTTTGGCGCGACTCTGGCCCATTTACCAGCAATTGGTCGCTGCCAGTTTCCCCAGTTGTGGGAGAACAAGCGGCGCCGCCCTCAGCTGCTGACAGCGTCTGCAACTGAAACGACTGTAAGATTTCACGTGAATCACCGAAAATTGCAGCATAATGGATTAAGCGTGCATGTTTTACCACAATGTGTCTGAAGGGATCGCTGATTCCCGTAGGTTCCCTCCTTCCACATTCTAACACGATAAAGAAAAAGAGCGCACCAATAAAGGAAGCGCAGCGGTTGTGAGTCCCCGCCCATAAACTTATCGCGGAATGTGATCTAAAATTCTGAAGGACTCACTCGCAAGCGGTCTCTGGTACCCAGAGATTGGCTGAGCCAGTATCGAGCACGACGACAAACTGCTGGTTGGGTGTGCCGATGGTGATGTTACCAACGTACTCGTAGTCTCCATAATCGGATACCTGAAACAGCGGCTCTGATGCTGACGTGATTTATATGCTTCTACCCTGGGTAACACTCTGTGCGCTGAAAGGAACTGTCTTGTGAGAACTTCAAGGTTCATGTAATTGAAAATTCGTCTTACCGCTTGTGGAAGACTCGCGAGATTCGCGGCCCGTAGAGAATTACGGTATCCGACGAAAGCGGCATACTCCCCTCGTTCGATCATTTGAACCTAAACACCGAAAATCAATATCGATCGATAACGCAGTGAGCGAACGAAAAGTTCCACTGGCAACTCCTAGCTGTACCTTTCTTGACTTCCGCCAAACAAGAGGGTGCTGATGAACGGCAGCAGCAGCAAGCCCAACCAGGGCTAGGAGAACGGCAAAGCGCATTCTGCAAGGTTCACCTTCAATTAGGGGTAGAGAATGGCAACAGGGAACCAGTTCAGATAACGAGCGGCTACAAACGGAAAATGATGTGAGTCTAGGAGCAAGCACGCGAGGAGGGGGGGGGTCGTCCTGAAAGTGCAACACTTTATCAGGTAGTTTATCAAGATAGTTTCTTACTGGACGCATAGGCTTGCAAACGGTGCACCGATTGGAAGATAGGGGTGGATCTACTCCTGAATGATAAAGGAAAAAGCTGGAACGAGTAAACAAAATGCGTGCAATCCCCTTCAAAAAAAGCCCTTGTCATCTAATGTTTCAATACTTCCAAAATGTCCCATTCCAGAAGTACTGCGATGAGTTGAAAATACAATATATTACTTGCTCTGAAATTCTCAAAATAGGTACGTTTCTCCAACAAAAGCGATTTGACACCTACTAGCAGACCATTCAGCAGCAGAAGGCTTGATTTGCTTGGATGGAATCGATCTTTCAAGCGTCCAAGAGCAAAACTGCACAGCCATTAATCTCTTTTCATTGTTTCATTCTCAATCTGATGACCCCGGACCGACGAAGCTTTTCGATCACTATACCTACGGAAAGGTGAATTCGATTCGTGAAAACACACAACAGGGAGCGCAGGTCAAATCGTCAAATATTGCTCGCCTCTCAAGTTTTGTGGTGGATCTCTCTATTCAACGACCAAATGTCTTCATTTGAGTGTTGAGTTTTACTCTCGTGACGCACGCATGTGCCCAAAATTCGGTTCGGCGGCAAGAATTTCTTGGGAAAATCGGCCGACGAAAAGAATTGTACAGTCCTCATCATTGCGGACCGGTGGGGCGTGGCAGTGCGGCTGCGTTTGGTGCGGTTTGGCAAAGTCGTTCTGCACCAGTTTTTGAAGCGGGCAAGTGCATTACTGTATAATATCCTTCGTATTACTCGTTTTCTACCACCTTTCTGTCGAGCATACGCCGATGTTCAACAAAAAGGCTGAGAACGCTTCAACAGTGTGCGCCACTCCTTGTGGCCTTACACGCCCCATAGCGTCCGCAATAATGAGACTGCGCAAGTAAAGTTGTAAAAACGGAAGCTCCCACATTAATAAAAAACTGGAGCGAGAGTGCCTCTAAAGTGAATTTTTCAAATCAAATTGAACTAATTTAAGTTTTCCAAGACGTGGTGATGTGTCCTAGCATGAGCCTAACTCTTCACCTCCGAGTATTACAAAAAGTGGCCCTCCAGGAACGAGTAATGGTTCACCTTCTGGTGACGGTAATGTAGCGAGAAAGGAGCGCCCGTCGAAAGTGACACCACCTACGCAATGAGCGTGACACCACCTAAGTATGTTTTTAGAGACACATGAGTAGAAATTTCCAACAATGCTGGCTCAAAGGCCGCATTTTCATGCGTAGTTTATGAGACAGCAGAGAAACAGCGATGCTGGTAGGTGACAGCTTGCGATAACGCACGGGTGTGGCGGAGAGCGGTATTTGTACTGAGCTGAGGTGCTGACGCATTTTGGCTTGATAAGATTTTTTATGGCTTCATAAGGACGTCGTAGCTACTACCGGCTCAACAGAAAGCAGATCACAGGTCATTCAGTTCAAATTCTTCCGCTTGATATCGTTCCGTGGAACAAGTTTGTGCGTTTTGAGAAGAACTGAGGTATTTTTTTCCACCCTAGTGATACATATTCCGTTCCAAACAGAGGAGAGCCTGAGAGTCCTAAGAGTTAATAAACTCAACACAAAACCTCGAGCCGTTCGACATAAGGAACCATGAAGTAAACACCAAAGGGCAGTCTGATCCAAGTTAGCACGCGAAATATGTGAATCTGCTATCAGCATTATGCAAAACACGGAGAAGACAATGTACTCAATCCTGGAGTGTCCTGAATGTGCAAATTATAGCTGCGAACGAAAGTTGCCCAGCTCTGAAAACGGACAAAGCTAAGGAATGTTGCCATTTTTTGCCAATCGAAATCAGGTGAGACGTTGGGCCATATTGTGATGAAGGTCGGCTCAAGTGGTTACCGAGTGGATTCGTGGGAAGTCAAGCTAATACCAGAACGGGTGACGGTCTAGTGACAGAATAGTTGATGCTTATAACGGAAAAACCGTAGACTTCCAGTTTCTCAAAGGCTAGGTCTACTGGAGTAATTAAGTCGCCACTGGGCCCGGTTACTCGAGCCATGGCGCCCTCCTCTCATTGTTAGAGCCTCAACGACAATCTGTTCATCACATCTGCGATTCTTGGTCCTTGCCATTTGGGAGATGAATGGGTCCGCAGTTACGATAGCTTTCCAACCC